CACGCGGGTACCACGCGGGGTATGGCGCCAATTTTGGGGATTGGGGCCCGTACATGCATGTAGATTAATTCCCCAAAATTTCAGCCCCGTTGCTTTTGTAAGTCCTGAGATGAAAGTGCGTGACAGACGCACACACAGACACACAGACACATGGACACACAGACAACCTCTCGTCAATATGCGTTTTTCGCATTGCATTGCTGCAAAAAACGCATAAAAAGGGATCTCGAATGCCGCATAAGTGAAATTAGAAATAAATCGCTGTAAAAGTATCGATTTGAAAGAAAGGAGGAAATATATAACAACAAAAAATCGAAGAAAATAATTATGAGTTAAGACAGAAGAGGATACATTTTTCTTGTAGCATATGTAAAATTCAAAAAAATAATAAAGCCCAGGATTGAAAAATACGGAAAAGCAGCTGATTTAAATGTGCTTAGCAAGTAGCTGCACATCACTTACGACGTAAACGCCACAAAGTTCATTGAACGTCTTATTAACGCGTCATCTGCTGGCACCAAAGGGCTATTTAGTACAAATAAAATTATCTGAATTATCAATCCTTACCGTATCTTCCTCATGACTCCTGGTGAGACCAGCAATTGAATAGTCACTGCTTAGCAGTTCATTATTGATATCATATAGATAAAGCTGCTTGTTGCTTTTCCTGGCAAATATCACTTTTTAAGAATTTTGGTTACAGTAATTTCTTAGCTGTTCTCTGTTCTTAATTGTTTGTTAGCTTATCTTCCAATGGTTTTGAACTGATTTGTGTTTTATTATGCGTTTTTGCATACAGTCAATGCAAAAACGCGTATTGGCAAAAGGCTGTGTGTGCGTGTGTTCGCACTTTTTCTCACCCACTTTCAATTCGAGAGCCAGAAAGGCTAGAGACCTGTAACTTCTGGAGTATGTGCCCACCGTCTGTGCGACTCTCCCGTTTTTTTACTGATCGAACCCTTACTTTTTTACAGGTAAAGATCTTTACTTTTTGACAGTTTTGACACAACTTTCACAATCATTAAGCGTTTTTGCATATATGCAAGTGCGAAAACGCATATTATGACGACCTTCGTGTGTGAGTGTGTGTGTCCGGGTATTTCAACTCGGCACTCAAGCAAGCTCCAGCGCCAAAATTTTGTTAGTGGATTCTCCGACAAGTGCGAGGACCGCGGTAGCAACCCTCACGCAAGCCTGGCTCCGCTTACGAGACAGTGAAAGTTTTGGCGGAAAAATCGCTAACTAAAGAACCAGAAAAGCTAGAAAGCTGAAATTTTGGGGTTATGTTTCCCGTCCAAATGGGACTCAAAGATTTCAAATTCAGCCCCCAGGTGTGCGTGGCACCCGCGTTTGGCGCCCTGAGGGTTCCTGGCACGAAAATCGCTAACTTGGGAATCAGAAGAAATGGAAGGCTGAAATTCTCAGGAATGTTCCCTGTCTAAGTACAGCATAGACAATTAATTTCCTGAAATTCAAAGACCAGTATGTCACACACTTCTAGCTACTGTGTTTCCGAGCGATCTCATTGCAGCACGAAACACTGCAAAAACGCATGATCGCACGGGCCCGCCTGGTGCGCGTCGCCAATGATTATTTTCAGGCCACCCCTGCACATACTTTTTATCAGAGGCAGAGACAGTCGGACTTAGCCCGAATCAAAGTAAGTACCAGTAACCACTGTTTCTCTTATAAGCCGACAGTGGATTCTTCTGAGGCTTCGTAAAAGCATACTGCTGGCACTTATGGATCTTCAGCATATGCCAATAAGAATCTACTTCGAAACAAGTGGAGATTATTTGTAGAGGGCTTGGCTATCCCAATGGCGGAAGCGAACCCTCAACCTGCAGCAGTAAAGCGAGACTGCTTGCCACTACACCATTTCTGCTAGACAGCAATGGTGCAGTCTTCCTGTTTCGTAATTAATATAAGCATTCGCTTTTCAAAACCCAGGCTGGAACGGACCAGGCGAGCCGGTGCGATCATGCGTTTTTGCACCAGACTTGAAATAATTAGGTTAACTGCATGAGTAGCTGTTTCTTCACACTTACCCTGTGCTCTCAATACCGTAACTCGTCGTAAATTTTTCATAAAAAAAAATAAACAATATCCGTTTAGCGGTCTTTTTTTGAAAATGACCCAGCCGTTCAATTAGTAA